GCAAGTGTGGTGAAACATGTATTTATGTCTATAACAAGTATACCGTATCAATCCATATTAGTTCCACAGTTCAGCACGGGCCTCGTCTAATGTTATTTTTACCAGACTATTAGTAATAATTTGTCATGAGTAATGACATTGAAAAACGTACAATTTACAATTTTTAAGCTCTCTTAGCAATCGAGATCTTAGGTTTCGCTTAGGTTCGCGATTGTTACTCATTGGAAATGACACAATTTTTTTTGGGATTTAAATCGCGTAAATTTGTTGACCCTTCCAGGTCCCACGTTGTCACGGTTGCAACGTTGGGTTGTTTGAAAAAATAAATATAAGTACGCGATTTACATCCGAAAAATAAAAACAATTTAATTTCACTTTTAGGAAATTAAGATTTGTTTTTTAACTGTATAAGCGGAGAAGAAGATTTAACCTGTATATTTTATATTCCTCTCTTTCGACTTCAACTCTCTCTTTAGATCTATCTCTTTATTTGTACTGTACTTTTACCATATCTATAAAAGTGAACACTTTAAAGATTTAAAACAACACACAAAACAATATCACGCAATTCACAACCAAGACTTTTGTATTGGTACGAATAAAAAAGAATCAATTAATGAAAACCACTTTGTATAATAACGTTATTTCCAAAAAGGTCTTCAGAATAAACGTACTCATAACTAAAACAGAGTTCATCGTATACTGGTATTTGTAACGAAAATTATTTCCCCACAAATACGCGCTGCGTCACACAACGGCAAAGGCTCACTGACGTACCAGACGACTGGGAAGTATGCTACGATGACATCGTCAGACTTCGAACCTACTATATTCCTTTCGTTCTACAAAGTTTACAAAGGGTGCTACTTAGTTGGGGTATTTTTAATTAGCGAGATGGTAAACTTTTAGTGGATTGCCTATAAAAATAGTGTTGTCTTAATAGATTCACTACATTAACTGACCCAGCTAATTAAAAAAAAAAAAACAGAAAAACGATAAAAGTGTGTACCTAAAGACCAAATGTAAATGAAATGTTGTTTAGCTTTTGACTGATTCTATTTCAGTGAGAACTGAAAGCATGTAGTAGTTATCAGTTTGTTATCTGGCTGTATGGCTTTGTGCCAAAGCCGTTACAACTCTACAAAAAAAAAGTCAAAATGTCACGGAGAATAGAAAAAAATCTAACTAAGTATATACCAGTTTTTTACATTAAAATTTTGTAAAGAATAATAATAATAATTTATTTCATCCAAATTATAATACCACTCATATAACGGTTTAAGAAAATATAACACTTTTAACAGTTTTTGAATAATATATACTATTATATTGTAGTCAGGTTACTATTGTAGGTCGTACAATTACTGCGACCGATTAACTGGTTTCTAGGCTGCTAAATACGCCACGACTAAATAATAAATTAGTCTATTAAAAAAAGTAAAATATACATGTAGAGTATGTCAAGATAAATCAGGGTTCGAAATAATTATCGTGACTAATATACCTTGATAATTATAAAATTAATTTTGACCAAAAAAAAATGCTACCGCTAGCAATGGCATGTGCCATGTGTTTATATCAGAGACGTATCCAAACGTGTCAAAGTCAATCTCCAAAAAGTCACCTACCAAATCCTTTACCCCAAGATTTTCCTTTGTGTTTAGTTAGTTTTATCTCTATGTCATTTTTAGTAAAAAATTGAACTCGCACAACTATGAATCAACAGACGTAATTATCGGACATAATATATCGGATAATTATCAAAAATAAATATCAAAGAAAAGAAAATAGATATAAGTATAATTGTAAATTAAGAGGTTATTTTATGAAAATACTTTAAATTTTGTATGAATTCATTTATTAGTTAATAAATTAAATGTATTTGTATTAAATGTTTATTAGGAGCACCCTATATGGTACATTATCTCATATACACTTCCTTTGGTAGTAGCACATGGATTAAATTCGTGCAGACTGCATACGAGCTTCTAGCGCTGTTGCTTTGGCGCGCCAAAAATTATTTGTTAGGTTAAAGTCAGGTTTTCACTATACGAGTACTCTCTGACGGAGTCATTCGGATGACTACACGTTGCGTGTAAGCGCATGATTCGAGCGCACTCCACGTGTCTTCCGAGAGGACTCGATCCGAGAGAACTCGGCTTAAATCAAGTTATTCCGTAATAAATGTATATTTTTTCCTGTCTTATGATATGTTGTTCTTGCGATAGATTTCGTTAAGAGTTGCAAAGCTTAGACAAATCTTTTGAGCTTTAATAGTGTAATTAATGTTTTTGAAGTAGGTACAAATTTATTAATAAAAAAAAATGATCAGTCTTTATACGACTTTAGATGGTTTTTATCATAAGTGGCATAGAGTTAATTTTCACGCTGATATTGCTGTAATGTATGAAATCACAAGAGAAACTCGGGACCCTTTTTGACAACTTTGAACTGTGAATACTTTTCTCGTTATTCGTCAATGGGAGAGGCGAGAGTCTATAATAGATAATAATAATAAAAAAGAAACAAAATAATTATAATAATAAAACAAAAAAACATGATATGGAAGGCAATATTTATAAACAGGTGGACTCGCATTCATTCTTCACGGAAAACGTTGTACAATTATTTAATATGTTCTTCATGATGACAGAGAGGGGACTGTGAACGGGCGATTGCATCGCTACACTTGGGATGTAGCGATGCAATCGTCGGTTTGTATCGATGCAGTCGCGCATAGCGTTGGCATTGCTGCTGAAAATCGCGCGCGTGTGTAAAGGTAGACGCTTAGCGACTGCATCGCGTTTGAATCGCTAAGAAATGTCGCCGTCTCCGCTCTTAGCCATATGGCGTGACCACAATGCGTAGAACTCTTACTTGAAATCAATGGAAAAAGCACGGCCAGCTGTGGATAGTTCCAGACTGTATTACACCTCTCGGTTTACCATGTAGGTAGAGAAATACCCCACCCTGTATTATACGTAAACGACCTTCTGAAGGGCGCCATCACCCGCTAGAGCCGACCTACGCTCGCTTACGTCCATGACACGAAATCAGAATGAAACCATGGGGCGAATCAAGGCCACCTCAAGGCTGCCCCATGAATTTGATCACCCATTTCGACCTTACGCTTTCGGAAGTAAAGCATAGTTTAGCTCGACTTGTTTTGCCCAAACTTATGTTGTAATAAATTTCTCCCCCATTACTGTTTTCTCGTTTATATAACTTACATAAACATATATACGTTATTATATAATTATGCATGTTTCTATTAGTTCCTGGGGCGAAACTACGTTTCTCTATTTACTGTGATGCTAATGTATTTCTTATATTTCCATTTGCAAAGATCCTGGTGGTAAGCGACACGCCTGTCCATTACAGTTGCAATGCCACTCAGAGCTGACGCAAAAATCTGAGTGGCAGTGCCGCTGCGCCCGTCACCCTAAGACATAAATTGATAATTCCCATGTGCCTGTAATTTCTCTGGCGCCCTTAACCCTTCAAAACCGTAACATAGTAATGCTGACATAACTGCTTGGCGGCAGAAATAGGTAAGGTGGCAGTACTTCCCTGGAAGAACTCTTTCATTTGGACCTCTACTGCTTCTACGTCTTTGGGCGAAGTCTCCCATTTTCTCCCTTCATCTCTGTTTTCTGCCCTTAGACCAACTGTAGGTGTCAATGACTAACCTTGATTGCTTAGTTTCTCTAAAATTAAAAATAAATGTAGGAAACGCCCGTTTTGTTACGCTATAAGGTGCTGCGCATTAACTCAAAACTCAATGTCTGTTTCATAGGTAAACAAATTACCCTTGAAATATTCACAATAATTTTAATCTACTACCCATTTGTAAGGCAAATTCCCTTGAGAAGAACGCTTTTTGTAAATAAATGCTTGTACTCGTATCATTTACAATATTTGTTTTTTTATCATTGATCCAAACAAACTGCTGAAGTTAAAAGTGCCTACGATTTTTCTCATTTAGTACGCAATACAGCCGCGCAAATAACATTTAGTGTAAACTTTTTGTTTCATTGTAATTTTAAACCATTTTTAAACCTAGTAAACAGGGTTGGAAAATATCATGCTTTTTGAAAAAATCTAATTAATCGCGATTTTTTTTTTTCATTTTATCATACAGTTTAACCGTATTTTTGCGTAAAACGTAGTAATGTAAAAGGTTAATTCTGGGGTCAGCGGACTAAAGCACATAAGTAAAAAACCAACATCATTCATTTAAATTAATACATCTACTAGCTAAAGCACATAAGTCAAATTCATTTGTTACTTCATAAATTTCGAACTATATTTTAGAGGTTATTTAACTTCCGACATTAAAAACAACGCAAAAAATATATATTAACAAATGAAGCATTTTTGCAGACATCTCTCGCCAGGACTGGTAGCTGTAAAGGTACTAACTGGGTGATAAATCTGCAATAGATTTCTCATAGATGGCGCTACGACTAAAAAGTCGTTGAAAGACCAAGTACAAAGACACGACGCAAGCACATAGAAGAATTCGTGAGGTCCGTTGGTTCGTTCCGTGGCTTAGTTGGTATAGCGTCTGGCACGGTAAGCAAGAAGACGTCGGTTCGAATCCGACCGGATCGAAGGAATTTTTTCTGAGTGTTCGATCTTTGTATTAACAATTATAACAAACTAGTGGAGTAATTTCACAAAAAATAATTGAATATCAATTCAATAAAAATTTAATAAATGAAGCATTTTTTTGACTTATGTGCTTTAGTCTGCCGACCCTAGAATTAACCGCGGCAGCTAGTTTTTTTGTTTAAGTATTATAATAATGATATTGATTTCTCAGCTGTGAAAGACCCTAGTCTTTAAAATATAATTGTCTGATTTTTGGTTGATTTCTGTAAAAGAAAACAAAATTGAACACATTTGATTAAATCAATGATTCAATCGTGCCTACCTTGCGAATTTTCTTATTATAGAAGCGTATACATACGTAACAGGTTTCCATTTGTTATTTCCAGATAATCGACCCGGCCAAGATTCCATCCATATTCGAGAATGCTCTGGAAAGCGAAGTACTATCAGAAGTTCTGCAAATATTGGCGGAACACACAGATAAGTTTGAAGGCAAAGTGGCTGCATATCTTCGAGGACTTGCCAGCGTCAAACGTTTCTCTGCCTTAGCTATGTTCTTGAATAGTAATGACAAACAATGTAAGTATGCATATTAATTAATCCACCTTTACCTGCGTGAAGAAAACAATAATATAACCTCAGTTTTGTACTTAGAATTGCATTTAGGGGCCCCGCATACTGCAGACTTTAATCTTATAGTTCAGTCTTTAATTGGTTTCGGATTTGGTATCAACCGGTAGTAAGCTTGATGGGGGCTGTCGATTGTCTTCAAACTCAATCTGTCGGCATTCATCAATTCAAATTGATCATTTCTGCCCTCCTTGTCATAAACAACGCGGTTTGATAACTGTTATGACCTTTTTTGACGTCGACCGCCTGCTCTCGTACCGAAACAGTAGCCTAAAAACATTTGGTGAACGCTTTGATTGTCAATACATGAACCATTGTAATATGATGCATCGGTGGGTGCATCCATTAACTAAATCTAAAATAGTATTCTAATTGTAATTTTATTTTTCATTTATGTTATTATTTATTTTTATTTTTGAGTTTAATTGTATTAAATCTTTGTAATATATGATCCCTGTTGATCGAAATAAATGATTTATTATTATTATTATTTGTATAGCTGGCCAGCTGACGACTGACAGTGAGACTGTTTTTTTGTTTATCTTTTTGTTTTAATTCTGATTTTTATATCGACGACGAAATGAAACGTGAAATAGATTCAAATTCAGATTCATTTCTTTCTCAAATATAACATTACAGTATACATTGCACTACATGTCAAAGTATAAGAAATTATATTGAGATCGTCAGACAAAAAGGAAAATTATAAGAAAAGCACACAATAATTAGAAAATTAACAATTCATTATATAATATTGTTGTCATTATATTACATATCAAATATCATTCTCCATCAAGGATCGTCATAAGTTGATAATTATACAAGAGCATGTTAATGCGGTAAAAATTAGAATAAAAATATAAAAATAGAAAATACTGAATTCGTTACAATTTAAAGTCCATAAATTCTTTTATAGAGTATATAGGATTTTTCAAGAAAAACTCTTTCAGCCGGCGCCTAAATGTTTCGTCAGACGGTTCAAGTCTGAGAGTAGCGGGTAAACGCTCATAGAGCCGTTGGAACCTGGAGCTCTATAACGAAATAGGAAGTCAAATTCAAAGTCAAACAATCATTTATTTCATAGGTACAATTTTTACGTTTGAAGACGTCATTTTTTAAGTTACTATTCATTCACTAAGATGAAATCACTAAGAAAAACTAGCAAGAAACTCCACTGATTGCTCTTTTCAAATAAACTTCAATGCTATGAATATCCCGTGTAGTAGTCAGCGTACATCCTCTATTTTACTATATATAATAAATAACGTAAATAAATAACGCACACACTCAACATAGCCCCGCACTAGGGAAACCCTGTGTCGCGGGTGCCATGGACACACACATAGACAACCACAAACTACACCCAAACTCACGAGAGAAATAAATGTACGCCATACAAACATTTCTCCCGGCCCGGGAATCGAACCTGGGACCTCTGCGTGGCAGTCCGGCATGGTAACCGTTCGGCCACAGAGGCAGTTAAAAAGTAAAAAAAAAGTAAAAGTTAAAAAAATATATTTTTTCCAAAGTGATTGATTAAAGACTCAACGAATGAAATTAAAGACTCAAAAAAAAATGCGGAATCAACCAAAGCCATTTGAGGTTGAATCGACTCTTAGCAATAAAACGGAAACTAAATAACATTGACTTACAAATAAATGGACGACGGGTCTAATACAAAAACCACGAAAAAAATGTCCCAAGTCAACCTATTCGAAATTTAAATTGTAATGTCATCGCAGTATCGCGCTGTCAGTAGAACAAATGAAGACTAAAGCGGAGTGTCGCGCTCTGTATACGATTTTAGCGCCTTACAAGTGCGGACACTTTTTAGCGCGGACCCGACGTCCATATAATTGTAAGTCAATGCTAAATAAGATATAAAATAAACCTCTTACAGGGGGTTGCAGATCTTGTTTTGCTGATTCCAGATATATTAATAACTCAATTTCTCTGAAAATGTCGATAACGTTGTTTATGATAATGATGGCAGATTTGACCTCCATCTCACCTGCTGGAAAGTGGCGATGAGGTTGACAATGGACCATGGACACCGAAGTAGTGCTTATTCGGTTCGCTTTGAAAAGGCCCTAGCGTTTATTTTTATTTTCATTTTCATTGTCATTATTTTTGGAAAACTTAAAACTAGGTAACTAGAATAGAATGGTAAGTATAATACACGCCTGACAGGCCAGTGTATACCGACGCTTGAAAGGCAAAATAGCGTAAGTGACACTTTTGGTGATATTGAGTTACATATACCGTTGAAATAAGCTAATGTTTCTGATTCCAACGGTATATAACTGAATATGACGCTAAAGTGTCGCTTATCCCATTTTGCCTTTCAAGCGTCGATATGTATGTATATGTATATACTGAGAACTAATTAAAAGTTTCTACAGATAATTATTTACAATGATAGACAAGGTATAAAGTAATCTGACGACTTAAAAAAGAAACAATAAATATATACAACAAAATTAAATACGTGAAACATTTATAGTAGCTACATACTTGAAGAAAAAGAAATATCAATAAGCAAGCGCTTTAGCTTACTTGTCCTGTATTGAACAAGTCTACCTCACTAGTTTATTTACTAAGAAGTTAAATGAGCGAGACGCTCTATTGAAGTTTAGAAAACAAGTCAGCATGCTAGATAGTCCACATCACAGTATGGCGCTTTTCTTTTTGTGTTTCGTCTGCCGATGCGTCCAGTGTAGGGCTAGCATGACAGGGCGCGACTTGCGCGAAAGCGACATAAAGCGCGATATCCTGCTATTCTCGCATAGAGACATCGCGCTATATACAGACGGTAAGGTGCAATATGTTGGCTTGCAGGTTTTAGGTCAAAGTAGCTTTTTTTAAGGCCTACTGCCAGACACTGTACACCTGCGGCATGTGGGTTAATGATACGCAGAAATCGTTTAATGCCCTGAAGTGAAGGTTCATTGTATTCCTTCAGAATGCTGTTGCGGCTGCCCACATTCTGTAGAGCGTCATATTTACGGAGGCGCGTATCGACGGTTCTGACGCAGTTGTTTTGCACGAATTAATTCCCCCTTTGCCTTTCCGTCAGACGCAGGCTGGGGTTCCACCCCTATGTTGTGGACATTCCAAGGATTCACACGAAACGTTTCGCTTTCACATTTATATTGCGAACGGCTTGGGAGTGGAATTCCCTGCCTGCAGACTTGTTCCCTGAACGTTGTAACTTGAAACCTTTTCGAGGCTCCATCGTCGACATGGAAGTCATTGGACTTCAGTTATTTAAAATAAAAGTACTGAAACGCATTTCGTCGACTGTGAGCAGGATGCGTGGTGGCGGTAACAGCCTTCTGAACACCATATCGGAGGATGTAGCGTGTCCGGTATTGTGCCATTAGACCAGAATTCATGTCACCAAGAAGGGCTGGTGACATGAATTGTAATTGCGCATACCTATCGTTAATTTCTATTATTTTATTTTAATTATTTTATAATAATTATTTTTATTTTTAATTATTTCCTATCTTTTTAAGTGTAATTTACTAACATAGTCCTAAGTTTTCAATTGTTATTAATAAAGTGGATCAAAGATCTTAAATAAAAAATATTATTATTATATTTATGTCGCCCTCGCGCAAGTCGCGTTCAGCAGGACTTACAAGAATGGGCGCGATTTGCGCTCTCGCGCTTGTCGCGCCCTGTCGTGCTACCTACTGTTGTGCTAGCCTTACTGTACTCTCGATTTCTATTCATATTCCTCTGTTGTATAAAAGCAATAATAACTTATCTGAACAACTTAATTTCCATCACGCAACCGCTTTCTTCAAGAGCAGCTTACCAAGTAGCAAAAGTTTTCGAGAGCAATCGGCTAGCAGCCCAACCCACTTAACTATCGCCGGATAGAAAGTCTGTAGATTGCGAGGACCCTATAGATAAAAACTCTACATACCAGAACACATATAGGTATGTAGTTGTACGATAACGGTAAAAACTAGAATTTAGAAGGCACGAACCTCGTAAAGTTATAGAATGTTACTACCTACACATATGTCACGTTCTTGTTGTCGTAATCTTTAGCTAATGCTCTAGTTTATGTTTATAATATTCGCAACGGGTATTAAAAATCCCTTAGAAGCAATTAAGGTTCATTTTTACAACTTCTTTTATGACTTGCTCACTAGAAGTCCTAGAAATACTGTAGGTATTTATAACCACGCGTTACAAAGTTGTTATTCTATAACTTACCACCTACAGTATTCTATATACATTTTCGTACATCGTCGGCTTGTTGCAAGAAGTCATTGATTGCCATATAATTTATAGATATCGTTTATGATCGCAAACCGTTTATGAAAACGAAAAGGTTTTTTGAAATTCGAACTTGACGATGGACTATTGTGCTTTTTCTTTCATTGAAAGAAAAACATAATGACACGTTCAAGTACGCGATTTGTCGTACTTTATTTATGTAATGCACTCAGTTGGTATATTTTATTCTTAGGAAATGAAACGATTGTTCCGGATTTAAATCGCGTATATTTGTTTTTTCAAACAAACCGAAATAACGTAATTTCTGAATGTACCTGATTTCCCGAATCCTGAAAAAATCCGGGACAATAGTTAGGGTAAAACCGG